GAATAGTGAGACCATCAGTGTTATCAATGTTCAAAGACAAGGAGGAAAACAACAGGCCCAGAAAAGAGAATCCTGCCACCTCCCAGGCATGACTGCTGTGCACTGGGCCATGAGCCACACAGCCCCAGAAGTGTCTGCCAAAGGTTTCAGACAGCTGTGCAAGCTCTCGTGCCATTTGTTCAACTGTTGTGGACTGAGAAAGACACATATTCCCAGGGTTCCACCAAGAAGACTTTGTTCCAATTCATAAAATGTGATTAGAATACAAATTCTTTTTATTAGTTTTGATTCTGCTATTCTATATATATATATCTCCAAATGAATGCATCCATTGCTCATGTTTGTCACTAATAGAAGTGAGTAGATTATATTATCCTACAAGCAATATTGATGAAATAAAAATACATCACTTTTTCTACCTAAGAGCAGAGGTGCTGCTTAGAGAAGTAGGTGCCTACTCACGTGGCAAATCAAAATGTCTTTAATATAATTTGTCACGATGCTATCACTTTCCTTCCTTCCTTCCATATAAACATCGTGGTTTCAAAGGAAATTAATTAATGATGAAATCTCAGATGGCAGCAAAGCTGGCTCACCTAGTATATACGAACATTGCTATTATGTTCTGGAAATGAACTCACTGGATTTGTTAAAAATATGAACTCTTCCTTTCTACCAGAAGAGGGAAAAAGAAAAATATGAAGGCTTTTACTAAGTGATCTTTTTACCTTTCACAGTTTTGGTTTTTTTTAAACAAAGTCTCAGTAGGTAGAAGCCAATTATACTAGTTACCTTGGGTAACAAGCTGTTAATTTTGTGCTTCAAAGTTATCAGCCTCCTTCCCATATACAATTCTCAGGCAAATGAATGGACTTAATCCCTGTATTAGCAAACACACCAAACAATCCAATGCATGATGTCAACAGATCACTCCCGAGTCCAGGCATAACTGCCCGTTTGGGAAAAAAAATCTCTGGGAGTTTAGATAGAAGCCAGCAGACTTAATCTTGATTTAACAGTCATTCCTCTTCACAGCAAATATAAAGGGTACCAAGGAAAAGCATTTTCCCTAGTAATTTAATTACACTGAGTCCATAAAACTTCTCCTTTGAAGAATCACACAGTTCCTGAGAGAGTTCACTTGTTTAGCATGTGATATACAGCTAATTTTTACAAATTGAAATAATTCAGGGGAGAGAATAAAATATTTAAGATGATAACATTAATGTCAAAATGAGTCTTTAGATTTCTCTTATTTTGGTTGTGTCTAATCCTTCAGGGCAAAATGCAAAGCATTTAATTCTAAAGCGGCAATTTTATATACATGATGATCTTGTAATTCTTAATTACCCAAGCATTATGCATGGAGAACAACTACAGCACGTGAAAGAATTACTGCCCTCAGTCAAGATGCTCATCTACGTTTAATGGTTTCTGTGCTCTAATAAGAGCAAACTGTAGTTTAATATCAATAATCCCTTGGGAAATTTACAGTGATTTATTTCTCTGGCTAATTAAAAGTCAATCATTGCTCAAAAGTCTCTAACCACCGATAAAATTAGGAAACTACAGTACCGAAATAAAATGAAGAAATCACAGCAAAGTGCCCATACTCGAAGCAACCCAACAAGATACCATCCACCAGAAAGTACTTACTTGTATCAATATTTCACATGAAATGTGTGATTCAGTACGCTATGCCAACAAATCATGCCTCATGAAGCTCATTTTATTGCAATATAACATAACTCACTTATGTAATCATTTAATTCATTTTAACTTCACCTTGAAATTATGTAAGAGATGGTTCTATGATTGCTTTTGAAATTTTCTTTTTTGAAATACAAGGAACAGTAATTGTTCACACAATATCAAACAAATCCGAAATTTGACAAGACATATTCTTCAACAACTACTGCAGTTAAAAAAGATTAAGTGTATAAAATATAAAATTTAGGAAATTATTCTCACAATTTAAGTTAGTGGTATTATTATATTTCAGCTTTAAGTAAATTAAAATGCTAAATGTTTGGAGATGTACTTCAGCATGGAACTTATACGAAGAAGAAATCCACACTTCACTATATTCCCGTTTCATTTTTTTCCATGATAAACTTTACAGAAAAGTTTACCATATTGTTACGTAAACACTGTGGTAAAGATAGTTACAACAATTAAATGAAAATATAGGTGTGCCTGGGAAAAAGGAAAAGAAAATATATTTATGAAAACTGCACCCATGCTGGGCATGGCTGTGCACAGCTGGATCCGAGCACTCAGGAGGCTGAGGCAGGAAGATGGCCATGAGTTAGAGGACAGCCTATGCTACAAAATGATTTCAAGACTAATCTGAACCACATAGTGAGACTCTGTTTCAACAAACAGAAAACTATACTCATATTAAAGGTTACAAAGTATGAATAATTTATTTATAGGTGGAAAATTCAATTTTAAATCACTTGTTCCTAACATAATCTACCAGCCAAATGAAAAATCCAATGAAGAAAATAAGTACTTTTGAAGAGGAAGGATTTCATGTATTCAGATGAAAGGACAGGTATGTAAGAATAGTACATCTATAAAAATTAAATTTAACTGAATTAAGGACTTCCAATCCTTGCAATTATTATTAACAGGACAGATGTACTAGGGATGTCTTGGGCAGCACTTTATTATAGAAAACTGCTGTAAACAAGTTATCAGTATGGCGCAGGTTAAGTAGAGAATGTCTCATCTACACAATTAAACACGTTCATGTCATTATGAATGATGACAGGTTTCTGAATATATTTTTCAACGAAAAATGCTCATTATACATTCTTAAGTGGAAATACTGAGTTACAATAATATAAAAACAAGGTATTGTTCAATTTTTAAAACATACAGAGGAAAAAATGTATGGAAGCTAATATTAAACTGCTACATGTGGTTTTTCTCTGGGTAATAGGACAAAAAATGATACTTCAGCTTATATCTTTTTGACACTACAGGAATTTTCCATTATAAAATGCATCACTTTATAGTCATAAGGAATCATTTAAACATTTGTGTGGGAATTTATGGATATTAGTACAATAAAACCAAAAGGAAGTAGGTAAACAGAGGTCCTGGGAGAAAAGAAACCAACAGCACACTTTGAAGAGGATTTCTATGTTAGAGACTGCCGTTTGTACATCTGCTGTTCATGTACGGGGACTGACTGCAAGGGAGGCCTTGGACAAAGAAGTCATGTGTACTTTAACGTTCTCGTTTCCTGTCTCTTTTACTTTTCCTTCCTTCTTTTAAAAAAATTTTTTTTTCAGTACCAGGGATCAAACTTGCGACCTTGTGCTTGCCAGATAAGTGCTCACGCCCCTGCCCCCTCTTTATCTTAGGATTTGACAGCTAACATCACAGAACAAAATAGTGACGACGTCTCAACTCATGTCACTACACACTAGTGTAGTTCTACACTCCGCAAGAAAGCCATGCTTTAATGTATCTGCATCACTAAAATGAGTGATAATTCAGTAAGTACATCTGTTCATACAGGGAAGCCTAAAAATTTGCCTCAGTGATTTCATCTTTCTTTTTTCTTTCTTTCTTCTTTTTTTTTTTTGGCACCAGGAAATCCAACTTAGGACCTCACACTTGCCAGGCAGGCACTGTGCCATTGAGCTACACCCTGAGGCTCTTAGTGATTTCTTCAGGAGTTTTACTAAAGAAAGTACAAGCATAGTGATGTTAGCTCTTTTCAAAGTATTTAGGCTGCCGCCTTTTAATAAAGACTAATGCATCCAGCTCTGATTTCATATTTAAATAATATGTGTATATGACTACTAGTGAACATAAAAAGCCTGTTTGACATAAAAATGATGTTAATAAAAATAAATATTATACTCTGAAATAGTTACTGTATGTCAAACGTTCTGAAAGCACTTTGTGTAGTAAGTCAATGGATCTTCAAAGCAGCCTTATTAGCCTGCATTTTACCCGTGGGAAAATGAAGGCTGAGAGAGCTGTCAAGTCCCTTCCCCAAGGTCACTTGGCGAAAAGCGACACATATACCCATACAATCTCGCTCCAGAATAATTATTTTTTAGATTAAAAAAAAAATCTAAGCTCTAATTTTAGAATAGTTTCAGATTTATAAAAGTTGCAAAAAATAAATAGTACAGAGTTCATATATACCTCTCTTTTCAATGAAAATCTTGTATTATGTGATACCTGTGTCGGGACTATGGACCTCACCTATTTGCATGTTGATACTTAACTAAACATCATACTTCCCTTGAATCTCACTGTATTTTCCCTAATATGCCTTTTTGGTTCTAAGATTGCATGTACAGCCTTCTCTGGGTGTGACAGTTTCTCAAACTTTCTCTTTTGTGATGACCTTAATACAACTAAGGAGCACCAGACAGGTACGTTAGAGAATGTCCTGAAATTTGGTACTGTGTGGTTTGTCTGCAAGTTAGACTGGGTTTAGCATGGGGAGGAAGAGCACCGAGGCACAGCGCTGTTCTCGAAGCATCTCACAGGACCAGGCCGCACTCATGGCTTATCTCCACCGATGCTGCTCTGGAGGGCCCAGGGCAGAAGCTGTCCGCCCCGCCTCGCCACTGTCAAGCTTCTCTCCCTCCCGACACCCAGACCAGCCATGCCATACAGCAAGGAAGCTAGTTACCAGGCAGAGAGTGAAACACAGGAACTGGGACTACAGAGAAGTTATGTGGAACTGTTCTCAGCACTCATCTGTAATTCATTACTCTCTATCTAATTCTTTCTTATAATTCTTTTAAGAACAATATAATTCTTGTAATTTCTGATATCATGTACTATTATATACGATAGTTTAAAAACAACTCTCAACTAATTTCCTTCTTTTCAAAGGTTCATAACCATGTTGAAACTAAATGTGACAATAAATGAAATGTTTTCAAAATATCTTCCACTGATCATTGTGGAATGTGTCACTAATTGACTCACTGGAAACCAGTTTTTCCGGTGTAAGAACTTACCAGAAATATTCGTTCAAGTTGATCCTGAATATCTTTCATTCCTGGAAAAGCAGCAACACCTTGTATCATCTCGACAAAGATGCAGCCAACTCCCCTGAAGAGAGAGGAAAGAATCATTATACAAGCTTCAATCTATTCTTCTAAAAAAACTTAAATCTGAGATTGCACTGTCCCCATGAAAGAGAAGAAGCCATGAACCAATAATACTCTTAAATGAGTGATGAGAGGGAAGAATGTGACATACTTAGACCAGAATTTTCCTTCCCTGGAGGTCTATGTCCCTGAAAGAATACTAAACAGATGCAGCCACGCTGGCTCAAGGAACAGTGGGAACCAACAAAAAAGTAGCATGGGAGGCTTCTTATAAGGTACATCTGAGAAAGCTCTTGGTCCTACATACAAAAGCTTCCATATACATTGTAGTGTTCTTTTCTAACTATAT